ATAATTTTTAAAATCTTTTTGGAAAATGTTACTGATTTTGGAATTACTTTTTCAACACTTAAATGGATAATTTCAGTTTGTTTGCACACTCGCACTACGCCACGCCGTGCTCGATACGACTGTCAAACTCGTCGGACCACATTTGTTTACGGCCCCTAAAGTACACACGGCCCTGCGATCAGCTCGGCTACCTTATCGAGTACCGTATAAATCACCGCCACCTGCGCGGCCCGCGCCGCCCCCCCCCAAACAAATATGTACTCGGCGGGTAATTTTAATTGTCCACGGAATATCTCCTTGCGAATCTCCCTTTTTCAAGCGCTATTTGCGCAGCGGTTTATCTCCTTGGGCGTTATTGAAACGAGGCGGAATGGTGATGATGAGCGGGGTGGCGTAGCGTAGCTGTGCGGTACTGTACACAGTGTACTACCAGTTGGGACTTTGTAGTGATGCTTACCTCATCTGAGTATCTGATCTGAGTTAAGCATCCGAGCGAGTAGGCAACCCGCCAATACACTCGTGTTGGCGGGTACAGCAGTCCCACGGGGTTTGCCTGACCACCCGCTTCTTTCTTTCGAGTGCTTCGCTACATGTTGCACCCTCTGTCGTTCGCAGGCGCGTCCAGCGCGGCTCGCTGAGCCAGGTCGGCCCCCTGACGGAGACGCTGCTCAACCACGTGCTGGAGTTCCTCCAGGACCACGTCAGCGCCGTGCCCGAGGAGCGCGCCCACCGCCTGCGGTCCGCGTGCGAGCGGCTGCGCGCCGACGCCACCAAGCAGCACCCGGAGCCCGCCGACATGGCCGCGTCGCTGGCCGCCGTGCGCGCCGCCCTCACCGCCACCGTCGACGCCATCCTGGAGAAACAGGTCCAGGTGAGACACACGCCGCCACGGCAGTCTATCAGGAGGCCATCAGTCAGTGCGCCTCGTCGTCGTCGTCAGTCGGTGACGTCCCTTCGATGCCGTCGAACGATCTTGTCAGTGCGATGTCAGTGGGGCCTGACAGACCCCTCCCCCCTCCCGTCCCCCCGCCGCACCCCCTCTCCACCCGCCGTGCGCGGCTGCTCGCTGCTCCGCGTTATCCGATTCACGTAGTCCTGCTGCAGCACAAGCATGCCGAGCCCAAAGCCAAAGACCATTCCCGTTTCCATCATTCATGAACATGACCACGTCCATGCTCGGCCCTCGGCCCGGCGGCCCAAGCCGTACACCGCCGCCGGTCCGGTACGTTCATGCGAACTCCAATCTGAATATGTCTCCCCGCTGTCCGCGAGGGGCCGCGACCGCGCCGTGCCGGCCGTGCCCCTCCCGCCCGTGTCCGACTAATGCTGCTATGTATATTGTATAAGCTATTCCCGGAGCAATGAAGCATTGTCTGCTTGCAAGAGCAGGGTGCGCCGGCCGTTTTTCTCGCTTCGAACGACATGATTTTCAAATTTGTTGGTGCGGTCCGCATGTGTGCGGTCGGTGAGCCCCGCCGCGCCGCGTCCGTCTATCTCCGGCGCGGGATCTGCGGCCGTCCGTCAGCCGGTCCGGTCCGCCCCCCGCGCAACACCAGCGGCGGCAGCGGCCCTGCTGTGAGCTCCAGCCCGCCGACCCGGCTAGAGCCAACGCGGCGCGCCCTCTGCGACTTTGGCCCGGCTGGCCTTCCCCCATTCACCGGGAGACCCCTCGCTGGGGTCCACGGCCGGGGCCGAGGCGGGGCCGACCGGGCGGCCGAGTTGAGAAACGCGGCGGCGACGGCGGCGGCCGGGGATCCCCTGAATACGGCGCCATTGAAGGGGACGGATAGAAAGAGCCTCGAATGGACGAGCCGAGCGCGCGCGCTGAGCGATCGGGGGTCTTATCGAGGAGTATCGCTTTTGTTCGTAAATCTCGCGAGTGGGTGGAAGCTGCGTCGCACGCGGCCGGGCACGCCACGTTTGCGTCACTCTATGAGAGGATCAGTGACAGCAGAGCAGCGGCGTCGCGAACACGATCGCCGCCGCGGCCGCGCCTCGCCTTCATCCAAGACAACGAGTTTAATCCTTTTGATGGAAGGGGACCCCCCGATCCCTGTCGGGCCCAAAAAATGGGGTACCTCTCTCTCTCTCTCTTTCTCGTTCGCAACCTCCTCCTATACTCTGCTGGCTGCGCCAGGCATACAGGCAGCGCCGGTGGATCACGTTTACAAAATAGCCGATCGTCCAAATATGGGCTGCGAAGGTATGCCCTCATCCTATACAAACCCCACTCTGTCTCGGGGGCCAACGCCACGCCAGCAGGCCTTTGAACTATGATGCAGTAGGCATGCAGTCGCTTGATATTCCGTCGGTGACGCTCCCGGCCGCTTCGCACTCCCTACGCCCTCCAGCGACGGGGCAGGAGGAGGGAGGGGGGGGGGAGTTGACAATGCCCCACCACGCCACGCCCCGCTAACGCCGCGCGACGCTCCCAGGTCCCATCGTCGTGACATTGCCCTCGACGAACGGGTGCAGCGTGCGGCTGATCTGTAATGTGTTTGAGGGGGGGGAGGGGGGGGATGACAGGACAGCACACAACAAGCGGGGGACCTCCTGCACCGGGGAGCAGCGGGAAGTACCCACTACTGTGGTCCTGCGCAGCCGGGGGCGGCCGACCTGCGTCGCGAGAGGGGCAAGTCCACAACCTGCCGCTCGGATGTGCATAAAAATGTCGAGGGCGAGGAGGCGGAGTAGTGGCGGCGCGCGGCGAGGTAAACCTGTCCCTCCGACGAAGACGAGAAGGCCCCCATCACGGCGGCATCAAGTCGGCAGAGTGAATAGCCGATTTAGTGCCCCATTGAGATGCCAGGCAGTAAACACCGCCCGCGACCCGACAGGCGTTTCCCTAGCCCAGCCCCGCGTGGCACTCGAGGTGGCGCTTCTGCTCGCGGGGGTGGGGTCAGCGGTCAGCGGTTCTACCGTCCCCGTCGTGCCTCATACATTCACCGTTCGCATGACTCACGACCTGCCTTGTGTGTTCCAGGAGCTGGTGAACGTGCTGGAGGGCCCAGCCTCGCCGCTGTCGCTGCGCACGGCCGTGTCGGCGCTGTGCGCGCTGGGCCGCCAGGGGTCGGCGCTGTCCGACCTGGTGGTGCGGTGCGGCGGCGTGCGCGCGCTGCTGCAGGTCGTGCTGGACGCGCGCACTTCGCATACACGCCGCGCCGCCCTGCGCGCCCTGTCCGCCGTCTGCTGCACCGCCAAGTCCGTCCGCAGCCTGGAGCAGGCCGGCGGCGTGGAGGTGGTCGCCGAGCTGCTGTCCGAGTCCAAGCGGCCCGAGGAGGAGCGCGCCGAGGCCGCCGCCGTGCTCGCGCAGATCACGGCCCCCTGGGTGCCCGACAACGCGCGCGTCGAGGGGCTGTCGGAGCACCTGGACACCGTGGTGCACGCGCTCACCAGTGAGTATTCCGGACGGTCTCCCTCGTCGTCGGCGACATCACGTCGACACTTCTAACGCCATCGCTCGTCTCTCTCCTCCCGCAGAGCTGGTGCGGGGCGCCTCGAGTGGCGAGGTCCTACTGCTGGGCGCGGCCGCCCTGGCCCACCTCAGCTACGTGGAGTCGTCCGCCGTGTGGCCGCTGCTCACCGCCGGCGCGCCGGGCGCCGTCCTGCAGGCCGTGCGCGCGCAGGGGGCGCGCTGCTCCGTGTTCCTGCAGGAGCAGGCCGCCACCCTGGTGGCCAACATGTCAGCCGTGCCCGAGGCGCGCGCCGAGCTGGCCGCCGAGCGCGCCGTCGTGGCGCTGCTGTGCTTCCTGCAGCTGAGGCCGTCGCCGCTGCAGAGGGCGGCCGACATCGCGGCGGCCGAGCGCGTCCAGCACAAGGCGGCCATCGCCCTGTCCAGGATGGCGTCGGACCCGGAGGTGGCGCGCCAGGTGGTGTCCCTCGAGGGCGTGCCCCGCCTGGTCCGCCTCTGCCGCGACGAGAAGGAGCGCAACCACAGCGACGGCGTCCTGGTGGCTTGCCTGGTGAGTCCCTCTATTGGAGTCCTCATTCAGACACATGTCCATAAGGGGTCACTGTTACATGGGGGTCGTCCAGAAAGTACGTCCGTTATACTCAGTTTTATAGCGCCAAGCGAAAAGCGCGGGAGCCGCGGGAGCTCGGCGCCTGTGAGGCACAAGTAGGACCACCCCGCAGTACACGCATGCACTGCTGGCAAGATGTTGCCTACCTATCAGGCGCTATGCCAGCTTGCGCAGGCTGAACTTGTAGGTCTGTTACGGCGAATGGCGGACGAAGTTTCTGGACGATCTCACACCAGTGTTTACCACCTCGAATAGTTCTGTTCAGTTCGCCATATCACTTTATTTTTTTAATTAATTCAATGTGCTTCCTTTACAGGCTGCTCTCCGAAAGATTGCTGCTAACTGTGGGACCGTCGTTCTCAGCAAGCGGGACCGGCGTGAGCTTCTTGAGCCCAGGCTGTTGGACTCGTTCATGCTTTTCTCCACGCGACAAGAGAGCTACGTTTAGCTTCCACCTTTTCACCGAAACGTGGTGAAGACCTATACGGACACGGCGATTTGCGCCGTCTTTTTAGACAGTCCCCAAGACTGCCTCTTACTGGAGGGACGAGAGCTCCACCTCCTCACTCTCTTTTCAGAAAGTCCCCAAGGTTTTACTAAAGTATACTATACTTGATTTAGGCGTGCGGACGGGTTTGCGTGTCCACTCGGCGCCCATAAGGTGCCACGGTAAGCGATGGTAGGCAAGCCCGCACGCACGCCTGTATCCGGTACAGTGGTATAACCGAATGAAAGAAAGACGACACCAATCATCCAATCTGTATTTTTACGGCAGTAAAGTAAGTAAAAAACCTGCCTTAGTGGGAATCGTGGACAGACTGTCATCACAAGAATAAAGGAGTTATCAAATGCTCAGCCAAAGGGGGTTATCCATTTAAGCTCAACTGCTGATATATTCTACTTTTAAGTTATAATATGTTTCATGATGAACAATGAGAATGTCAGATGTATTTTTGTGCTATAATTTCTCATTATTGTAAAAGTAAGCTATTTTTTTCTTTTGCCAAAGTTGTTAATATTTAACCATTAAACCCAAAGATTCATCTGGCACATAATGATGTTAAAAGTTATTGTCATATGCTGAGATGAAAAAGAAGGGAAAATTCTAGAAAATAGTGAGTGAGGGTGAACAAAAGCTGAGGGATTTGGGAGGAAATGACGACTACGTGTGCCAATTATGAATCGTCAGTTCTGCCGTCACACCGCTTCCTTGTGAATGTAGCACTGACAGTATTCTGAAAATATTGACAAGAGAAAAAACAAAAGGGGAAAAAAGGGGAAGCTTGTTGATTTTGTGTTAGTGTTCTTCCATATTTTATACAACCTGCACCTCTTTCCCAATGTTGAGTTTCATCTCTCTCTTCTTATTGTTACTTTTCTTTGTTAAAGACATAGTATTTCTAGTCATTGTTATTTTAGCATGTCAATAAAAGAATGAACCAATTCAAAGAAACTGTTGTCATTTCTTGTTTGTGGCTAGTAGCTAGGTAAGGTCTTATTAGTGCACCCGCTTCCACAGCAAGGTGCCAGGCACCAGGGAACTCCCACAGCCCGCTTTCGCCGTAAGTCGAACCCCGGCCCAAAGCCAACACGCACGCCTGCATGCGGTACAGCAGCATACCCACGACGACTGGCGGGTTCGCCTAACCCAGGGGTGGCCGGAGCGCCTTCCGGGCAGTGCGGCAGTGTGGCACTAAGCTTTTGACGTTAATCACCCCCGAGCAACCGGCAGTTAAAATACCTCTTAGAGCCGGATTGCAAAATTATCAAAAATGAAAAAAAATGTGGGCCCTACCCACCCCGCTTTGACACGAGGACCCGCCTGTTTAACTTCGGAGTTCGGTATGGGATCC